TGATACACAAATGAGTTTATGGATACATAAACTGAGGACTTAAAAAGTTTTTGTCAATAAAATTGCGTAGAATGACTAAAGCAAAGGTTGTATGAATGGGAACAACAAAGGAGCTTCACTGGTGCGAGTTTTCTAATTGTTTTATAAACATTTTCAACCGTCTTATCAAATCTTATTAAATCTGAAAAAAAAATTGTTTAGTGGCGATGAAAATGCTAACTTCTACTTTTTGAACCTGAAACCGGCTGAGAAAGAAGAGGAGGAGGTGGGAATACGAAATAATAGGAATGAAAAGGGAACGAAGAGGGGAGACACTGAGAGTATAAGGCGTGCTACTGAAGTGTATTTTATTGAGTATCAAAAATGGTTTGTTTTTTTTTTTTTGTTTTTTTTTTTCAGTTATCTAACTGTAATGAAACATTTCTGTAATGAGAAAGAGCAAGAAAAAAGCTTGAAAAAATACTATTACTGTTTTCGTTTCCTAATCCACTAAGGTACCTAACAATAAGAGATAACAAAGCTAATTTTTAAAAATAAAGAGCTTAAAAAGTCGTATTTAAAAGTCAAAAAATTTTTAAAAGCTTTACGCAGGTTTTTCAATAAAAAATCTTTTTGATAAATAGGATTAAGGCTTCCAAACGTCTTCTAAAATAATCTTCAGTTTTCTTTTCTCTACTACACTTTTTGCTCCTTCCACTCGATTCCGTTTTCTATATCCCCTTTCCAGCGTTAGTACTCAGTTATGTTACAGATTGCTCACAATGATGTGAGTAGAAACAGCTTTTTGCTTGTTTTATCCGCCCTTCTTTCCCCAACTTGATTTGCTTGAGCACAAGTAAAAGCCGGCGCTGAATTAAAGATGGCTCCCTCATGAACCTGGATGGAAAATGTCTAAATTGGAAGCCGTTTTGAAACTAGCAACTCCTAGGAACGATTATAGAATCACATATACTTAAAAGCATTAGCAAATGAAGCCTCAGTATTCAATGAGCAATTGTAATGACTCCCTGACGTGTTCCAAAAAGATACCTTGTGATTTTTGACAAATGGCCAAATTAGAGATAGAAAAATGAAACAAAAAAATGGCCAAAAAAAACCTGACGATAATTTATACTTATATAAAGGGAACAAGAGGAAGAGAGCCAAAGGAAATAATTTCAGGGCAAAAAACATTTTGGTTCATTTTCAAAGAGAATATTGATTTCTGCCTAAATCTCTTAAAGAAACGTTTTCAACACAAAAACAGCCTAAAAACTCCAATTTTTTGCTTGCTTGAAAATTTTTAAAAATCCTTCTTTCAAGTGATATGTGATGCACTTTTGGAACAGTCAATTAGAAAAAAAAATTTTTTTCTTTAAAGTTTTTTTATTTCATTCTCATTCCCGAAGAAGCGGCATCTAGAAGTTACATCAAGCTAAACTACTAATAGCAAAAAATTTATCAGTTGAAAACACTGATCGCTTTGTGGCTAATTTGTTCTTCAACCAACATTTGCTTCCTGCCAAAAGCATTCATTTTCAGTTTTGGTGTTAAAAAACAAAAAAGTTTTACGAGGTGAAAGATGCCAACAGAACTCAAGCTTCTAAAAAGTAGACGAGAGAGCAACGCATTAGTAATGGCGCCAGAACAAGTTAATGTTAAAAATTAAAAGTATTTTAAAAAAAAATAACAGTGAAGTCAGATCAACTGTGTTTCATTAGTTTCATTAGTTCTAACCGGAATATCCGCAAAGTAGCTAAAAGAAATAACTTGA